CCCGGAGCACGCGGCGAAACCGAGTCCGCGCAGCAGGAAGCGCGCGCAGCCCGCACGCCGTGCCGCTCTAGGAGCCGCCCGCGTCTCCGTGGAATCCTAACCCGTTCCGCCCCGGCCGCGGCCGCTCTAGCAGCCGCTGCCGCGTCTCCACGGGATCCTAACCGGTCCAGATCCTAACCGAGGCTGGATAGGCTGATTGGAGCTGGAATTTTTGATCTCTACTTTTCAAGCCTGGTTATTTTCCAGCTAGGTCTTACTTTCGGGGAAACACGGTATAACCACGTTCGTGGGTGTGGTGGGTTGTCATTGGGGTTACGAGCTGCATTTCTCTAATGACTCGGGAGGTTGCGCATCTTTTCCTGTGCTTGTTGGACATCTGTAGATCTTCTCTGGAGAAATGTTCATTCACAGCCAGCCCCGCCTGGGCCTGCCTAGGAGCAGCACCCCCAAAGTGTTCCTGCAAGACCGCTGGTCCAAACAGGGCTGCTCTGCTCTTCCCAGCCCCTCTCTCCAGCTCTGGAGCATGATGGAGGGAGAAGGAGGGTCCCTTTGGTTCCAGAGCACCTGAACCCATCTGAGCAGCAGAGTCGTGGTTAGGAGCCATGGTACACCAAAGTCAGGGAGCAGTCGCTAGTAAGCTGTGCGCAGCTGACTTGCCCTCTCTACCCGTGCGATCTGAGAAATACTGGTGTCGTGAACAGTCCTGAATGGTCAAGGAGTCATTACCTGCAGATACTTGGCACACGATAAATACTCGACAGAGGTAACAGTTACAGAAAACACCACCCTCACGTGGCTTACTCTGAACTCGGGGGACACACACAGCCTCCGAGGTACAGAATCACTACCTACGGCTCAATGGGTGTCAGAACGGCAGTAGGGAAGGCTATCTGGGCACAATGGTGCACACCTGTAACCCCAGCGCTAGGAGGCTGAGGCAGAAGGACCAGAGTTTGAGACCAATCTGGCCAACCCAGAGATTTAGCAAGAGCCTCCGTCAAAATAAAAAAAATTATTTATTTATTTATTTTGTCTTTTTGAGACAGGGTCTTGCTGTGCAGTTCAGGCTGGCCTCGAGCTCACTTTGTAGCCCAGGCTGGTCTCAAACTTGCAACGATTCTCCTGCCTCAGCCTCCTGAGTGCTGGGATTACAGGCGTGTGCCACCACGCCTAGCTAAGAGGGAGCAAGTGTCTCTTCTCAGGCTGTGGGAAACAGCACAATGAGAGGACTAGGAGGGGAAGGCCCTGTGCGGGGAGAGTAGACCTGCGGGCCCAGGCAACAGTGCTGGGAAACAAGCAGGGACAGGGCCTCACCCTGGCCAGGTCCCTTTCCCTGACTCAACCCCAGAAGCCAACTCCAAGGAGATAGTCTTTCACAGTTTCTGATATTTGGTTTTTCCCACTGCTAGCTCCCACCTGTCCCTGGACAGATGGCCCTTCCCACATTCTGTGATTCCTTTGTGTCTGTAACAACACACACATACACTCACTTGTTCGCATTCAACTCTCAGGTCTCCCCACCCCGAGATTCACCGCAGAGCGTTGCCTTAAGCATACTGCCCGGCTACTCACACCTTGGTTTTGCCCGTAAAATAGGGATAATCTGCAGTCCCACCTCACCGGGCCATGGTGAAGAGAAAATGACATCCGGGCTGGAAAAACTGGGACCCCACTGGCTTCCCTCCCCCGCCACGGGACTCAGTTTCCTCCTCTAAGGTGAGCTAACCGGGGAAGAGGGGCGAAGAACGGGCTGCCGCAAGTCCTTCCTGGCCCAGTGCCCTCCGCGCCCCAGCTCCTGCTGCCAGGGCTTGTTTCATTTCGGGCCCACAGGTCCGCAGCAGGTTGCCTCTCGGCTGCGCCCCGCCAGCCTCAGCGCCACCGCAGGCAGAGCCCAGGCATCCCAGCCCCATCCCGGGGTGAATCCAGACGCAGGCCGGGACCCAGGGGGCCAGCAGCCGCCAAGTCTGACAGAGGGGTCAGCTGGTGAGGCTGGCGGAGCCCCTGCGAGACAGGGAACGGCCAGGAATGCGGAGCCCCTCGCTGGCCCTGGGCTCCCCAGCACGGGGCTCTTCCCGGCTCACAGTGCGGGCAGCGGGAAGAGGGCGTCATCTCAGCCACTTCCCTGCTCCGGCCGTCCCCCCCCCTTTTTTCCCCAGGCTGCGGGAGGCAAAGGGTTAAATCCCATAGAGCTGGTGCTCTGACTCCAGGCTAGAGGGGCCCGGGAAGCTGGGGTCACTTCCTGCTCCGTCCCAGTCACCCTGAACTGGTCCCCGGGTCCTCAGCCTGGAATCACCCCTTCGGCAGGACCCCGGAGCCCAGGCACCCAGCCCACCCCCGCGGGCAGGGCGTTCAAGGGGTTAAGTCCCCTGGGGCCGGACTGTGCTCTCCGGCTTTTCCCAGACCCCAGAGCCCGTGAGTCGGGGCGCCGGGCTCCCGGGGGGCGGGGGCACTGGAGGGCCCGGGACGCCGCCGCCGCCGGGAACAATGGGGCCGCG